GAACAAGAAAACTTCAAAAGGGCTGAGGAAGAGGCAAAGAAGAGATTTTTCAGTCCTTGCAATTATTGGTCTTCATTTTCAATTAGGCCCAAAGAGGGGAAAAGCTCACCAAAAGGAGAAGCAAAAGCAGCCCATGCAAACAGGAAAAGAGCCCAAGCCTTGGCAGGCAGTTTGCCTTTTGCTTTTTTTTGTGCTGATACTGGTGCTTGAACTCAGAGCCTGGGCATAGTCCCTTGACTTTTTCACTCAAGACTGGCACTCTACTACTTGAGTCACAGCTCCACTTCAGGCTTTTTAGTGATCAATCTGAGATATGATTCTTAAAGAACTGGGCTGGCTTTGAACCACAATCTGCAGAGCTCAGCCTCCTGTGTAGCTAGGATTATAGACATGAGCCACCAGAGCCCAGCTTTGCTTTTGTTTTTGAGATATAATTTGTTTGCTGCCATCAAGAAAGCCTTTTCCTCTTATTTAGATTTCATCCTCCCTTTCCCTTTTCTTCAAGGAGGAACTAAAATCTTCCTGGATACCTGGGGAAAAAATATTGTACAAGTAGCATTTGCTACATCTTGGGAGTCCTTGCTTCAGTAGCATTGACCCTCTGAGGGAGCAAATTCCAATCTAGACACTCTAGTTTCTCACTTGCTAGGTGAATGTTTGCTCTTTCTCAGCCTTTGGCTTCTCATCTGTAACATGGTGATAATGGTACCTACCTACTTCAATAGGTTACATGGGGATTAATTGAAATGCATGCATGTATGTGCCTAACATGTAGGAAAAAGGAAGACTGTATCTTTCCCTCCATGAAGTCCCTTGTCTTCCACCCAGGTTAAGAATATTTACACAGTCCTAAAATAGAGTTATCTATGTATTTAGGATGTCTGGGTCTTTGATAGTAGAACCTCTGGAGGCCATAGTCTTGCTTTTAGCTTAACATACACATCAGTGGAAGCCTGTTGGGCCAATGCCTGGTTGCCATCTTGTTCAATGATAGTAACTAAACTTCCAACCCTTTTCGTATCCCCAGTCTAACACAAGAAAGGGAGTAAAGCAGAGAAAAAAATCACATAATGTCAGAATGACTTGGGTTGGAATCCCAGTAGAAATTTAAAATCTGATTCAATAACTGAAAAGATGCATGACCTTGACCAAGAATAGTTAGCTTCTGCCTGTAACCCCAGGTACTTGGAAGGTAGAGACAGGGAGGCTCACAGTCCAAGAACATCCCAGGCAGTAAGTTAGAGAGATCTTTATCTCAACCAATGTGCTGGATGTAGTCCATGCTGATAATCTCAGATACAGGAAACATTTAGGTAGGAGGATCCTTTGTGAGGCTATCCCCTAGGCAAAACCATCACAAGATCCTATGTGACAAATAAAACAAAAAGGTGGGGGGCTGGGAAGGTGGGTCAGTGGTAGAGTGCTTGCCTTGCATGCATGAGGCCCTGGGTTTGATTCCTCAGCATCACATAAGCAAAAAGAAAAAAGCCAGAAATGGTGCCATGGCTCAAGTGGTAGAGTGCTAGCCTTGAGCTGAAGAGCTGAGGGACAGCGCCCACGCCCAGAGTTCAGGACCCACGCCTGGATTCCCCCCCCCCAAAAAAAAGGTGGGGTGTGGCTCAAGTGTGTGCCAGCCTAGCAAGTGCAAGGAGCTGAGTTCAAATCCTAGTACTGTCAAAAAAGAAAGATTCATGACCTTAAACAAGTTACTTTCACTTCTCAGTTTCAGTAAAATGCCAGGTTTACAAAGCTGCCATAAAGATTCACTATGTAAAAAGTACCTATGTTGATTACATGGAAAGACGAATGATAGTATACTAACAAACGAGAGTACTATATTTATTTTTAAATGAATTTGCTTATTTGATGCTGACATATGATTGTGTAGAGTACAACATTCATAACTGTATGTTTCAGCCCTACTACCTCTCCACTGAAGCTTTTGCTGTCTTCTCTTTATGTTACCAGCTCAGCCTATACTACTAGTGATAAAGATCAATATAATCCTAGGTATTTGAAGCAGGGGAAGAATAGAGAGTTTGAGAGCAGCCAAAGGTTTTTGTTGGTTTGGTTTTGTTTATTTTTTGTTTTCTGAGATAGGCTCTCATTATGTAATCCAGGCTGGTCTTGCAGTCCTCCTACCACTACCTCCTGAATGCCAGGATTACAGGTGTACACAACCATCCCCAGGTAGTGGACTATCTTTTGTCCCGTGTATTTATCTTTCTGCTTGGGAGACTGCCTTATTTGCTGTAACAATGAGATAGATTTTAGGAATTGGCAGGTTAGTGCATCCTCACACACACTCTCTCTCTCTGTCTCTGCTACTCTTCCTGGCAATTCTCACAACTTTATTTTTTCCTATGAATTAGAATAATGTTCCCAAATGCAATCTGTTGACAATTTTATTGAGTTTTCATTAAGTTTATAGATTATTTTAGGTACAGTTGACGTCTTTACAATAGTGAATTATCCTTGCTAGGAAAGTGTATGTCATTTCATTTATGTACATCTTGTTTTATGTCCCTCAATAGGATTTAAAATTTTTCTACATATAAAACCTGTATATTTCTTATTTAAACTTATTGATAAGCATCTTATCTTTTTTACTTTCTGTAGTAAACAAGATCTTTCCCTCCATTATATTTTCTGCTTATTGCTTGGACAGGAAGGTTGTTGGTTTCTATGTACTAATATTATACTGAAACCTTGTTGTATTTTTCTATTGTTAGCCTTCAGAGATATCTAAATACACAAACAGAATATTCTCCAATATTTGCATATTTATCACATCAAGTTCAATATCTAGAATTTTGAAGCAGTATTCAGCACTATGAAGAAAGTAGAAACTTGTGTCCTGTTCCCAGTGTCCACTGGTTTACCATTAAGTATGTTGCAAGCATTGGTGGCTTATGCCTGAGACTGAGATCTGAGGATTGTGGCTAGAAGCTAGCTCAGGCAGGAAAGTCCATGAGAGTCTTATCTTCAGTTAACCAACAAAAAGCTGCAAGTGGAGCTGTAGCTCAAGTAGTAAAGCTCCAATCTTGAGTGCAAAAGCTTAGGGACAGTGCCCAGGTCCTGAATTAAAGCCCCAGTACTGGCAAAAAAAATTATAAAAACAGTCCTGTGTTCATTGTGGCTGTTGATGATAATTAAAGCCCTGGAATTTCCTGTCACTTGGCAGGACTTAGCATGGTGTTTGTTGTACACAGGCTGTAGCAGAGAACTAGATCCATCCCTTGGATGCTTAACTCTTTATATTCAAAAACTGAGGAGATATCGTCTAGCTTTGGTGACTTTTTATTAGGCAGAAATTTGACATTTTATGCATGTGCAAAAACTTACATTTTTCCCTTGGAATCTTTGTTTCATTACTTATAACATTTTTTGGGGGGGGTCAGTCGTGGGGCTTGAACTCTGGGCCTGTCCTTCAGCTCTTCAGCTCAAGGCAAGTGCTCTACCACTTGAGCCACGGTGCCTCTTCTGGTTTTCTGGTGGTTTATTGGAAATAAGAATCTCATGGAAGCCAGGCACTGGTGGCTCACACCTGTAATCCTAGCTACTCAGAAGGCTGAGATCTGAGGATCTCAGTTCAAAGCCAGCCCAGGCAGGAAGATCCGTGAGACTCATATCTCCAATAAACCACTAGAAAACTGGAAGTGGCGCTGTGGCTCAAGCGGTAGAGCACTCACCTTGAGCTGAAGAGCACAGGGATAGTGCCCAGGCCCAGAGTTTGAGCCCCACGACCAAAAAAAAAAACAAGAATCTCATGGACTTTCTTGCCCGGGCAGGCTTTGAACCATGATCCTCAGATCTCAGCCTCCTGAGTAGCTAGGATTACAGGTGTGAGCCACTGGCACTTGGCACTTATAATCTTATTTTTGTCTCACAATCTTCTTTTCCATTTTCTGAAAAATTTGTCTTATGTTATGCTTGTGTGCATATATGTATATATAACATATATGTAGTATATTAAAATTATATACACACATCCTTAAGTCTTGGTTTTGAATGAATTTTTGGTAGAGCTCCAAACAATACCAATCTGTGATTATCTCCACAAAATTTATTAAATAGTACTTCTTTTTTGTTTTTGAAGACTGTGCATATGATGCTTTTATACTATGAGTTGTTTCTTAAGAAAAATGTATGGAGATGAACATCAGGAAGCTGGACCTTGAAGTGTCAGAGGGTGAGGCCAAGGGGAGGAGGAGATGAATGAAGAAAGGAAGATCAGGCAGATGCAGTCATAGTATTCAGTGTACATATGTGAAAAGGGAACTAGAAAAATTGAAGCTGGGTCAGGTTAGGAGAGATAGGGGAAAATGATGGAAGGGGTGACATTAATCAAGAATGTTGAATTGGAACCCCTTTGTACAACTACTTGAAGATAATCAAAAAAGAAAGAGTCATGAAGCTTAGGTAGAAAAGTATTAAAATGTGCTAGTTCTGGGTGGTAGAGTGGAACATGGTTATTTATTATGGAAATTTCTGTGCACTTTTAAATATTGGAAAATGTTCATAATTAAAAAGAAGACAAATGAAAACAACAGATAAGGCAGAATAACCAGGCTTTGTAAACCTTAGAACACAGAAAATGCAGTCTGGATGCTATTAACAGACTGGGATGGACATGTCAGACTTTGCAGCCAGGCAGGTAAAATTAAAATACTAGTTCTACCCCTTATGCCCCCAGGTAAGTCCTTTAACCTGTGTGGGTCTCAGTTTTCTCAGCTGTAAAATCAAGACAGTAATAAGTGCTTTCTAGGATTATCATGAGGATTAAATACTTTGAGCTATGGAAAGCATTTAAAGTGAAACCTGGTACTTAATGTATGCAAGTGTTAGCAGTCATTATTATTGTTTCCTTAGTGGTAGGATCGTTACATTTGCTACACATAATGCAATGTTTGGTGGCCATTTTAGATTTTACATAAATGATGTTACATGCAAAGCATGGGCCTGCTTGGCTTGCTCAACCCTCATCTACTTTTTTTCAGAGAAATGGCTCATTCTAAGGGAAGCCTTTCGTGGACGAACACCTTCCATCCCTGCCTTGAGAACCCAGCACTGGACTTCTCAAGCCACCGAGCAGTTTCTTCCCTTGACCTTCTAGGAGACTTCAAACATTCCTTGAAGACAGCAGAAGAAACTTCTGTGTATGAGGAGGACAGCCATCTGGCCTCCATGCCCCGCCCACTGCGTAGCCGGGCCTTCTCTGAAAGTCACATCAGCTTGGAGCCCCAAGGTGTCCGGGTTTGGGGTCAGCATCGCAAGGAGCCCTTTCCGAAAGCTGATGAGACTCAGCCAGATCCTCTAGGAGCCAGGAAGAAACCTTTTCCTCCTCCTCGCCCTCCTCCTCCCAACTGGGAGAAGTACAGGCTCTTCCGGGCAGCCCAGCAACAGAAGCAACAGAAGCAGCAGCAGATGCAGATGCAACTACAGCAGCAAGAAGAGGAGGAGGAGGAAGAGGAAGAAGAAGGAGGAAGAGAGGCGGGAGAAGAGGAGGAGGAGCTGCCTCCCCAGTATTTCAGTTCAGAAACCACTGGCTTGTGTGCTGTCAATCGCGAAGAAGCCCTGGAACAGCCAAAATCCTTGCGGCTTGGCGACCTGGAGACCTCAAGACGGGGTTCCCAAAGCTTCCCAGAGTCAGAGTCCTATGCTCCTCATTCCAGCAATCTCCTGCCTCCAGTAAGGGGCCACTCAGGATCTCAACCTGAGCAGGCCCACCCTCCTTGCTATTATGGCGCTGGTGGACTATGGAAGGCATCAGAGAAAGAAGCCATGGATTCCCCTAAGTAAGTGTTTGTGAAAGATATTGGATCCATGCTAGGTGCTGGTGGCTCACTCCTGTAATCTTAGTTACTCAGAAGGCTGAGATCTAAGGATCAAAATTAGAAGTTAGCACAGACAGGAAAGTCCTGTGAGATTCTTAGTTCCAGTGCACCACCAGAAAACCGGAAGTGGCACTCTGGCTCAAAATGGTAGAGTACTACCCTTCAGCAAAAGAGCTCAGAGAATGCCCAGGCCCAGAGTTCAAGCCCCATGACAAAAGAAGATATTTGGATTCCTGAAGAGGAAGGCATTTTGATCTTGGGCTGCTCAGTTAAACTGCTTCCAGCCTCAGTTTCTGTACCTAGAAAATGACCATGGTGCTACCAGCTCCACAGGGTGACTGACTATTAGGATATATAAAAACAGCCATATGTTTGTTGGGCATCAGTGGCCCACAGCTATAATTCTAGCTACTCAGGAGGCTGAGATTTAAGGATTGTGTTTCCAAATAGCCCAGGCAGGAAAGTCCTTGAGACTCTTATCTCCAATTAATCACCAACTCAGCCAGAACTGGAGCTATAGTTCAAGTGGTAGAGTGCCAGCCTTGAGCGGAAAAAGCTGGAGGACAGTGCTCAGGACTTGAGTTCAAGCCCTAACTGTGCATGCCTATGCAAGCGTGCGCTCTCTCTCTCTCTCTCTCTCTCTCTCACACACACACACACACACACACACACACACACCTTGCTACTGTATCTTTTAAAAAAATTATTTAAACGTGATTACAGAGGGGTTACTGTTATGTAAGTCAGGGTAATGAGTACATTTCTTTTTGAACAATGTTACCTCTTCCCTCATTTTCTCCTCCTTTTTTCCCTCCTGACCCTAGTCCCCCACAAGTTGTATAGTTCCTTTTCAACTTAGTGTCTAGTGAGTATCACTGCTGCATTTCTTCACCCTCTGTCCCACCATTTCTGTGCTTCCCCTTACCCTCCCCAAATCAGATAAACTATATCTTTTATTGACAGTCAACTTTTTTGCTTGGTTCAGTGGTTTTCTAGTCTGAGGTGCCAGATCCCAACATGGCTTCTCCTCAAGTTGTGGATGTAGCTGGCAAGCATTCTTACTGTGTCTAGGAGATATTTTCTGAAATGTAACTATGATTGTTATGTATCATAGCCAGGAGGAGAACTGACCTACACATAGCACACATTTAACTAACATTTCAGAAGGCAGAGGGATAATTGGATGAGTATTTATTAAAGATTTACTATGTGCCGGACACTGTTAAGCTCTTTAGATCCATTATTTCATTAAATCATCCCAACAGACCTATTGGCCATTATTATCCCCATTTGACAGATGTGATAACTAAAGCTAAGCACAGCAAGGGACCAGCTAGCTCAGTATTATACAGCAAATATTCAAAGGCAAATCTATTTGACTATAAAAACCCTGCTTGTTTTGCCTTCTTTGGCAGCCTCTTTCCAAGAGATTTTTTTTTCTGGGAGGCCACCTTTTCAGGGTGCCTCTTTTTTTAGTGCCAGTACTGGAGCTTGAACTCAGGGCCTGGGCACTGTCCCTTAGCTTTTTGCCCAAGGCTAGTACTCTACCACTTGAGCCACAACTAAATTTCCAGCTTTCTGGTGGCTAATTGGAGATGAGTCTCATAAGCTTGCCTGCCTGGACTGGCTTTGAACTGCGATCCTCAGATCTTAGCCTCCTGAACAGCTAGGACTATAGGCATTAGCCACCAATGCCTAGCATCTGGGAACCTATCTGTGTCTCCTTTATGTGCCTCCATTCACCTGGGTACCTTGTTCACAATGAAGATAATTTCTGTTACTACAGATCTTGTAACTTGCTTTAGAGATATTTTTAAAGACTGGGATGACAGAAGAAACATTTGCCTGCAGCTCTGGCTTCTGACTGCAAAATCAACTGTAGGAGAAGGATGAAATGAAGTATGGCTCAAGTGATAGAGTACTTGCCTAGTAAGGATGAGACATTGAGTTCAAACTCTAGTATCCAGAAAAGAAAGAATAGAATAGAGAGGAAAAGAAAAGAAAAATTCAATCACAGACGCTTCTATGCATGGTGGGGATTTAAGAAATAGCATCATTTCTGACACAAGCTAGGTTGTTTTCAGCTAAGAATTCTTCTAAACACTTTCATGGACTGATCAACCCTGATTTACAATGGTTCATGTTCCAGGTTATTGTTGTTTTCTTTTGAGTTTGGCTGTAGTATAATACAGAAACCATATGTTGGGCACCAGTGGCTCACACCTATAATCCTAGCTACTCAGGAGGCTCAGATCTAAGGATTGTGTTTCCAAGCTAGCCCAGGGAGGAAAGTCTCGGAAGAGACATCTTATCTCTAATTAATCACCAGAACAGCTAGAAGTAGAGCATTCATTGGAAATTGTACCTTAACTTTAGGTTTTGATCTTGTCTTAGACTAGTAAGATGCAATGCAATACTCTTTCATGGTGCTGGGTAGCAGCTCTCAGCCCCATGAGTATGAAGTGGAAGTATTTCCACAATGTGCTGTGCTGCTAGTTGCCATGCATGGCAAATTATGTGGTATATTACATGCATCTGAATTTAGGATTTTTTTTGCAATCCTGGGGTTTGAACTCCATACCTAGGTGCTATCCTTGGGCATTTTTACTCAAAGCTAGTGCACTACGACTTGAACTACTGCTCCACTTCCGGCAATCATCAAATCTCAGCCTCCTTAGTAACTAGGATTATGGGTATGAGCCACCAGTGCCCAGAAACTTAGGATCTTATCAACTCAGTGATAGTTTTTTTTAGGAGTGAACCCCAATCTGAGCTAAGGAGCATTATATCGATCAATTCATTCCTCATAACAAATGGATGAAATTTTTACAAGTAGTCTCCTCCATTTTTATATGAGAATAGTGAGGCCTAGGAGATAATCATGACTTTCTCACAAGATCACAGATAACCAGAAGCTGGGAAGTCTAGTTTACTGTCCCTGCAGCGTTATTTCTGGATGTCTTTTGTAGGCCATAGAACACAAGGTCCTAACCAGAAGGAAACTTTTTTTTGCAAGGAACAGTAGTTCTAGGGGAAAATAGATGAGCAGTCTTTTGAATCTAACATGCAAAGACATCTAAATTTCAGTCAAGTTAAACTAAAGTATCTCTCTATAACCCATGTACTATTCAGTTAAAAGTTCTGGAATATAGTAAAGGGAAATTTCATAGAATTATCAAATGTTGGTGAAATCTGATAACTGTCCATAAAGTGAGCTAGGCCAATACTACTTTCAGAGCTCTGTGGAAGGACTCTGATTATATTGTCATACTTCTATAAATCCCTTTCCTTTTCTGGAAAGAAGCCCTAAAACATGGTGCCTCATATGCTCCAATAGAATATAATGCAGGGCCATCTCTGCTGAAGGACTGAGTTTCTAATGGGGATATCATTATTTATTCTGTACAATTTATCACTCAATGATCATACATACCCTAAATGCTTTTCTTGTAAATAGAAATTTCCTAAGTTCAAGTCTTCATAGTCCCTCCAGAATATTCCTTCTCTGCTACCACAGATAGCATGTTAAGTTGCCACTCAGGAGGCTGAGGTCTAAGGATCATGGTTCCAACTCAGCCCAGGCAGGAAAGTTTGTGAGACTCATCTCTAATTAACTACAAAAAAAAGCTCAGAGTGGAGTGGCAGCTCAAATGAAGAGCACCAACCTTGAGTGAAAAAAGCTAAGGAAGAGTTAAAGTCCCTGAGTTCAAGCCCCAGTAATGGCATGTGTGCACATACACAATTTCAGTTTTCCCTTTGTCAGTACTACATAATACATGCATTGTAGAATCAAGTTGCCCAGGTGGAAATCAGAAGTCTTCAGTGTAATGATTTTCCCTCTTGGAACCTTATTTTTTCTCATTTATGAAATGGCTATGATAAACACTTGATTATACATCTATATAGGTGCTCATCATGGTGTACCTGTGTGGTATCTGCATTAGGTCACTTTCTGGGGCATGGTAAAGCACTGTGTGAATGTTTGCTAATTTTGTACCTCTATCAGTGTTCTAAGCTTGAAACCCTACATGTAAAATGAATTTACTTAGGATGAAGAATATTGGCATGCCCAAGTGTCTTTTGTGTGATGAATTAGGTGACAGCATGGCATGAATCAGTAAATAGCTACAGAACCATTTAACCATTATTTTTGACCTTTATCTAAGAGCTGAAAATAGCTGCAAAAATGACTAATGAGCTTCTCCTACTTTCCATTTCAGACAGCTCGAGGTTAGCAAAGGGGTAGTGACGGAAAGAGAATGTAAGGGGGGGGCAGTACCCACTCCCTTTCATAAACTCTGGCTGGAGTTATTTACCACACCGTCATTGAAACTTGACTTTGTAACATTTCTATTTTACTTTCTTTCTTCTATCAGGCCTGAAGCTTCAATGGCAGAAGAAACCAAATCCAAGCCAGCATGTTACCAGAATTTCTTCTTTCCTGGAGAGAAATTCTCTTGCACAGGCTGGAGCCCTGAGAAGCAGCACCTTGGCTCCACTGGCTTCAATGAACCCAAGACAACAAGGTCTGCTGCTACGTTTGTCAAACTCCTGAGTGTCATTGGTTTCATTGTTCCCCCATTTCAGTCTACATCCATGCAGGAGGCTGGGGCCATTAAAAATATGCCAGAAGTGGAGAGATGCCATCTCTTCTCAGATAGAGTTGCTGCCCTATACTAGGTAATATTAGAAGTGCTCATGAGAGATGTGATGGGCTGTGCTCAGTCCCTGGCAGGGGTGCCCACCCCAGCCTATCACAAGGTGACCACTGCTGAGGGCATGGGTGATCTCTTTGCTGTGGTTGATCTGCAGTGGGAGAAACAACAGTGATTTGAAACAACAGTGGCATCAGGAAAGAAGAAAAGTTGAGAAGATCCAGAGAATGCCACAGAGTGCCTTTGTAAGCAAGCACCTTAGATAGAACCAGGGCAGGTGGTGGTTTGGAGTAGAAGTAAGACCAATAGAGAAGGTCTCTGACACTTCTGAACTACTTATGCAGCCTCTCCTCAGGGTAGCCATGAACCAAGGGGAATCATATATGACCAAAAGCCTAGACATATTGGGGACTGCCAGATCTGATTTTGAATAGGTTCAGATCAAATTATCTCGAGAAGTACCCCTAGCTGCTGAAGTCAGGAGCATAGAAATAGCCTTCTATGCTCTTCAAGTTTGCCTTTTCTTGCCTTTTAGATAGCCTTCACGTGGCCTATATATGTTTCAGCAGCACCTCCTGGTCCATTCCTTTACAACTATTTGATAAAGCAGGGTCACATACAGAAGGGGAAATTAAGGAAGTAGAAAGGTCAGTAGTCTCTCAACAGAAGTGCTCAACTGGACATTTGTTTGTTTCTGCAGACAAGACTTTCAGCACTTCTCGCCTCCTCTAGGAGCCCCTGGGATCCCAACCTCTTATTCTGCTTATTACAATATTTCTGTAGCCAAGGCAGAGCTGCTGAACAAGTTAAAAGACCAACCTGAAATGGCAGAGATAGGCCTGGGAGAGGAGGAAGTTGACCATGAACTGGCTCAAAAAAAGGTAAAGTTTTGCAATGTCCTAGATATTTTTAATTTAAACCTAACTGAATCTGGAGAGTGATCAGCTCCTCTACACCCTCTAGAACATCTGCTAGTCTTATATTTAATATGGAGATTAAATAGACTGTCTTTAATCATTTGGATATGATCAAAATCAGAATGGTAGTAGTATTCAAAGTAGTAATTTCTCTGATTCTTAGAAAAACAACCTGAGGAGGGAGAGACAGAGAGAGAGAGAGAGACAGAGAGAGAGAGACAGAGAGAGCCAGAGAGAGAGAGACAGAGAGAGCTGGAGATCAAACTAAGAGCCTTGCACATGTTCTACTACCAAGCCTACCTGCCTTCTTTGCTTCCTTCCTTCCTTCTGCCTTCCTGCCTTCCTGCATGCCTGCCTGCCTGCCTGCCTGCCTGCCTTCCTGCCTTCCTTTCTTTCTTCCTTCATTTTTTTCTTATTTGCTTACTATTTCTTATTCTCTTTTTACCTTATTACTTACTATTTTCTGGGGTTCAAGCCCTGGGCCTTTGACACATGAAAGATGGCTGAGATATACTTCCAGCCCTACAAGGCAGATACTACTATCCTTCCTTTTTTTTTTTTTTAACAAGTTGTAGGTACTAATTTTTCCAGTGGCTCCATACTAAATGATAGCTCCAGCCTTGAAGTCAAGACTGAAATTCTGTTTTACCATATTATCTCTCAGCATTCTGCTAGACTTATAAGTTACTGTACAAGCACATCCTTTTTTGCTACTGAGCTCTAGCCAATGGAAAGAGTGTTGATTTTTATTCTCTATGGAACTTTCTGCAGAAAGAACAGACTGACTACACTGAAAATAAGGAGAAAATATAGGCTAGTAGACATTATTTACAATGATGTTCAATTATCTTTTACAAATACAAAATAAGTAAATGGCAATGTTGTTGGTATTATTGTTGTGCTGAAGCCTTCCTTTCTTCCTCTAAGTACCAGTAGCCTAGTTTTGTAATCAAGTTCCTGGAATCACTTTGCCTACCCCTGTGCACATACCCATTTTATCTTGTAAGCAAGTTGAGTTGTCATGGTAACCTCCAAGGCCCAAATTACCATTTTGTGGACATGTCAACTAAATGCCAAATTGCTCTCTGTTCATATTTCTTTTCTAAGGATGGGGCTGTAGGAAACCATCAGGCCATTTGCAAAAACCCTTCCTCCAATTCTCATCTGAAGCAAAATGTCAGGGAAAGAATTGGAAGCATATTGTGTTAGTATTGAAGTCTTTATTGATCCAAATGTACTTCCTTGGATCCCATATCCCTTGAGCACCTCAGGGCTGCCCCTTGCTTCCTCAAGGTCTGGCCTCTCAAGGGACAAACCTAACAGAAATCTGGTTGCAAGAAGGGAAAGATAAATGGGACTATCAAAGAAAGATGGACAGAGTGATTTGATATAACTATGGGTGGGTCAGGACAATTTGTGTGACAGAAAGAAAAAGGAGGAAGGTCACCAATGTGCAGTATCCCAGAAAAAAAAGTCAGCCCTGGATGAATCTGTGATGACTCCACAACTCTATTGACAGTGTCTTCTCCAGGGCAGAGGGTCAGGTTGTAGAGCTCAGATGCTGAGAAACAAAGAGCTCTCTCTATGTCCATCCTTCCATCCATCCCCAGAGCATAGGCTAGGTAAATGGCTGATATTCCAGGTGAGTTGTCCTTTGATCCAGGTGTTTAGTTTGGGATGGGAAAGCTGAAGGTAGTAAAGTAACTGGAAATCTCTGGACACCTAATTCTATTTCCTCATTCATGTCACTGATCCCCAGTGGGCTTTGGGATTTCTCTTAAATTCAAACATATTACACTTCAGATTATAATCATGACAATCTTCTATCATCTTCGAATAGTTCTAAAATGTATCAACAGGCCCTGGAACCCAGAGAAAACTCTTAGTTCTGAATACCTTGCATATCTTAAAATAAACTTCTAGAGAGGAACACATTTCTAGAAAACTCCAACTCTGGGCTGGGAAGGTAGCCCAGTGGTAGAGCGTTTGCCTTGCATGCATGAGGCCATGGGTTCAATTCCTCAGCACCACATAAGCAAAAAGAAAAAAGCCAGAAGTGGCGCTATGGCTCAAGTGATAGAGCGCTAGCCTTGAGCTGAAGAGCGGAGGGACAGGCCCAGGCCCAGAGTTCAGGCCCCATGACTGGACCCCAAAAATAAATAAATAAATAAATAAAATTTATTATCTGCATAAAGTTGCAGAGCTTCTGCAGGGCAAATGACATAGCTAGCAAGATCAATAGAAAGCCCACAGATTGGGAGAAGATCTTTACTAGCCAT